AACGATTTATAATATTAGTTTTACAGACGACTTTTGGATTAACAAAAGCTTGAGTTTTATATTTATGGATGCAGATTAATAATCAGCGTTTTTAAGAATTACCTCAACTACATTCAACTTACAGCCGAGTGCACTCTTCATTGAAATGGATAGTAGTAAGCGAAAACTTTAGTGAGACACACATACACAGTGTGTATGGTCAGAAGGTTATTGAAAGAGCGAGTTTGGCGCAAGATAGGTGCCGACACTTCAGAAGGTAGTAAAATTTGGTTTTGAACGGAAAGTCATAGCAACTGCGGTTTTCAGGGTTCAATAGACGACAGTCGGGGGCACATGCCAACGTGGAAAAGTGATTTTCCTAGGTTGTTTTTCAGACCAGATTTAGCCTACGAAATTAAGGACAAATTAGCGAACTTTTTAGAGGGATTTTTTTTCGCAGGATTGGCACCCCGACATGCCCTCTTCACATTGGTATCTAAGCAATTTCTAGATTTCGCTTCTTTGAAAGACCCTAGACCTTTTAAGGAAGAAACTTCATGCAGTACATTTTTCGCTGAAAAGGAAAAAAATACTCCGAATATAGGTTTTCGATTATGCTAATCGACATGAAAGGGTTTGTTCTGATATTGAATTGTAATTTTACGTTGAACTCATGAGCACAAGCACATGAAAATGCTTATTTTCGAGTTCCTTTGACAAACAAAATATGTTTTTCTTACAGTCTAGTTTCCAGCTTTAATAGAGTGATCATATTGGAAAGAAATATGCTATAGAAATCATTCGTCTTTCAAAACTACACTGTAGTCTTAATCCCATTGAACTCTCATGGAATAATCTCAAACAGTTTTTTCGTGATCAAAATACAACATTTCGTCAGAATGATGTAAAACAATTAATTGAGCAATTTATGGTGGCGATGGATTATAAACTTGCAAGTTCATATTTTCATCATGTTTATAAAGTCGAAGAGATGTATAAAGCAGCAGATGAAATTATGGAACAAGAAATTGAACCACATATACAATCTGAGAGTGAAGAAACAGATTCTGGTGACGATGAGGAAAGCGTGGAATAACATTTCTTTTTTAATTTGTACTTTTTCCAAAATTCAGTTTGTTTTCTGAGCAAGTAGCGCACGCTCTGTTGTTCTAAAGACTGATTAAAAAAAAACGGGGCTTTGTGTTTAACGGGGAATTTTCCAACTATTCATCCGTGTAGATAAACTGCCTTATATTTTTTGTAAGTGAATTACAAGTTGCTGACAACTCATTTATACTCATATTACCTAGTAGGACAATACCACTTTCAAACTAAATAGTCACAAATGTTGATTGATAGGCATTCATTTTTACCACACGTTGTTTTGTATAGAGGTCTTTTTTTATTTCACAATATAGTAATATTATTACGTAGTAATTTCGAAACAGAAATAAAGTAAAAAAAATATCGTTTTAAACTAGTTGACGACGTATTGAAGGGCAGTCGTCTGTTTGATTTCAACGGTAAAGCGATTTTTCGAGTGGAATGGAAAAAAGAAAATTTTGGACCGAAAATTGTGCTCATGAAAATGACCGGTGCCCGTGTGCATAAAGAAGCCGCATTTTACGTTGACCTTAGTCGTCATCTACATATTTGTCGAACATACGGATTTATCGATGAAATACCATCGAAACCCTTCTCTGTTATGCTTGTTCAAGAATTCGCTCCGAAGGGAAATCTCTTTGACCTCCTAGAAGATTCGAATAAACTGCCGAAAGACGCGATTCTTCGTAAAATTTTTATTCAAATAGTTGATGCAATGTGCTATTTAGTTGACAATCAAATTATCCATGGCGACCTTGCCTGTCGAAATGTGCTTGTGTTTCAATTTGATGAAGATAATTCAGAAAACAATCTCGTCAAAATAACGGATTTCGGATTAACGCGTGTCAGTTCCTCCTGTACTGTTTTCAACATTATTCCGACACGTTATGCGGCTCCAGAGGTTCTTTCATTCAAACTGTATTCGGAAAAGTCGGACGTATTCTCGATGGGTGTTCTCATGTGGGAAGCCTATTCGAAAGGAGCAATCCCTTGGATCAATATTGACGATCTTGATGAGATTTCGGAAAGAGTGACACGGGGAGAGAGACTTCCACGGCCTGACGCTTGTAATAATGGGTCTTGGTCGCTCATTTCGAGCTGTATGTTCCACCTAACTACCGACAGGCCAACATTTGCTCAACTAAAGCAACTATTAGACAACACTAATAAGCGATTTTTCAACGTTCGGAAGTCATCTCACGTAACTGATCAGGGCAAAAGATTTGACAGAAATGAACAGCAAGTGCATGCAAATCCTGTAGTTGACGAACTAGTATCACTTCGCGATGATGAAAATCCTTTCATGCCGGAACTGATCGAATTTTATCCAAGACGAAGAAACGTATGCAATGAATATGACTCGACTCGTACGACTAACATTAGTAGACAAAAGAGAGATCGCATGTTTGGTTCAATGTTTAATCTGGACCGACAGCGTCCAACAGACATCGTTTTGTCACTTTTAAATTGGACACCGTATAGCCGTATGAGTGAAAAACACCCGTCACCGAAAATACATCAGCGGTATTCCCAGGTCACAGTGGAAAAGTCAGCGATTTGGTCGTCGTGCCACACGTCAGCACAGACGATAAAATGAGAAATGAGAGGTTGATATTTGCTGAAGAACAATCGATACCTGGATTACAAACAACAATCACGGACAAAAATGAAACATTTGCCAAGAAAAGGGAGATCATAGAAGTAATTGATGACGATGAAGCGTTTTTTAATGAATTGATTAGCGAAACGTCAGAGCAGCTGATAGATCGTTTTCATCGATCAATCAGTTACATGTATGACCATGGCACTATAAAGTGCGACGAAAGACAATACCAAAGTTTTCAAATTCACTTCAGGAATAGAATCCTTGTTCTCCCATATAATTTGCTAGGATCTATTGTTGATTCTACTACACAGATCAGTTATCCAGCAGCAACTAATATGCCATTTACGAGTTATCAGCTATCCAAATGGCTCCAAAAACACAGTGAGACGATAAATAAATCACGTACAGGAAGCATTGTTTTAACATATAAACAAGAAATGTACGAATTACCGTTGGTTAAAACTACATGTCGTGAGCAAGATACCACATGTGCAGCGGGAGGCAACGAATCATTGGCCAAGAGGGTTGAAAATGAGGTTCAGTCTTCATACGTCTCGCATGAAAAATTTGACATATCAACAAAAACGGGTCATTCTTCAGGGTTCAGAACTTCTTATATGGTGTTATTTGTATTTATGATCATCTTCCTTTTTTTTGCTGCTTTAGTTATCGTTCCATTTGTGAGCTGATTAAGAAAATGTTTTTTTGATTTTTGACAAAAAGATTTGCTTGTCGAAAATCGAAAATACTTGAAGGATGTAAAAACTCAAAAATCGTTCAGTATCAAAACAATTCAAATTTTTCGTCATATTTGTCCTTTTGGGTTTTTTTCTATATCAGCGTTAAAAACTAACTAGAAGAATTCTATTGGATCAATTTCGAAGTTTAACGCCTGTCGGGCATGGACGTCCCGAGCCAAGCCTTTATATTGCGGGCATGCAGTTTTGTAAACGGAATGATATATATTTCGAAACTTCTGGATAATAACCGGATAAAACAAAGATGGTATATGCAGAATTTCAAGATCAATCCAACAGCGGGCTTCGTTTAATTTTATTCTGAGTTTCTCATGAGACCGTCACAGTCTCTGCTATTTTCCATAGAAAATTTTAGGCAAGCTGTTTTCGCTGTTTTCACTCTACAAAATAGCTGGTAATTCGTTTCTAGTTCAAGGTCCGAACACTCTTAGAAAAACCAGAAGTCTCTAGCTTTGTTAGAAAAAAAGTTATAGCCATTTTGCCCTCGCAGCGGAAAAATGCATCTTCGTCATTTTTCGGCGGACCTGGCCTAACTTGTTGATCGTCTGCTGAACACATTCCCTAACGTAGAACCTTGAAGTTGGTATCAAATAAAAGAGCGCGTCGAATGCTATATATTTCGATGAAGAAAAGTTATGCTACGCCTCGAGGCCTTGATATGGACATTCATCATAGATAAAATACAGGTTAACGAATATTTTGGTGTAATTTTTGGTCAGATTGGACGTTTCCTAACCTGTGCTATCTAATTACACTAAACGCAACTCTCGAAAAAACAGATCTGCTTGGAAAATTACCATGTTTCACAGAGGGACGTACTCCAAATCGCAAATGTTTTCATGGAGAGATAGCTTAGAATGTCTGGATTTCGAATATATACGTTTTACAAATTTAAATTCACGTAAGGTGCCGGAAATTCAAAACCGGAGCGCATTTTTAGTTTTTCGATATTTATACATGGATCGATTGAGTTCATCGAGTTGAATCAGAATATGCGTGTTTTAGCCTTCCAAAAAACACTTTGAGGGTCAAAAATGACAATTTAAGATTATAAAAAACGGCTTACATTTTAAACACTGAACGTACGTCTCCAACCCAGTGAGTTTGGGAGCTTTGAAAGTTTGGCATTCTGTTACTACATGGAAAAACTGCATCGAAAAAAAATAGTTTGGATGTTATTAAAATATCATATGAACATTAAAAATATTATCGGTGGCTGTCAAAGGAATCAACTCTTTTTAAAATAAAGATGAGACGAATTATTTTTGCTTGCATGGTTTCATTCACCATTCCGGCATGAGAAAAACTAAGCGAGGGTTTTGGAAAATATTGTTCTGCAGTTGAGAAAATTAATTTTTTTGAAACAGGTAGTAAAAACCACGGAAATGCACTCGTATTTTGCATTTTTCGCCGTCAAACTTTCATTTTTTGCAAAATGAATTTCGTATTTTGAATTAGCATCAAAAACTGAATACAAACTGCAAAATGCGAGTGCATTTCCGTAGTTTTTGCTAGCTGTTTCAAAAAAAATTATTTTCTCAACAACAGAACAATATTTTTCAAAACCCTCGCTTAGTTTTTCTTATGCCAGAATGCCCGAATGAAACCATGCAAGCAAAGAGAATTCGTCTCATCTTTATTTTAAAAAGAGTTGATTCCTCTGGCAGCCACCGATGAGATATTTTCAATCATCGTATGATATTTTAGTGACATCCAAACTATTCTTTGTAGAGTATTAACTATTTTTTTTCCCTTAACTCGGAGGTGCACACACATAAAGTGAGGCTTTTCCCCTTGGTTTTAGCCTTCGAAAAAACACTTTGAGAGACAAAAACGACAATTTAAGATTTTAAAAAACGGTTTACATTTTAAGAGAGACTTCTCCAGTCGATCGAGTATCTTGTCAAAGACCGGTTACGGGTGAAAAACTGACATTTAGATATTTAGACATCTAAACTATTTTTTCTAGATGCAGTTTTCCATGTAGTAATAGAAAACCAAACTTCCAAAGCTCCCAAACTCAATGGATTAGAGATATACGCTCAGTGTTTAAGAGACGGTTCGCCAGCGCATCAGGAAATCGAGTCATGAGTGAAAAACTGACATATACTTGTCATCTCACATATTCGGATTCTACTATCAAAATTGGGGTTATGAAAATTTTCTTTTTTCTCCTGACTTATTTTGACTGAGGTATATAATTTACAAAATGAGCACCAGGGTTGATTTGCGAAAAGTATTCTCCTCTGATATTTTGACTCCGTCATTTTTTGTCTGTTCTGTTTGAGCAACATCTCAGTCGAATGCCCGACAAAAACTAAACAAAATCTCATAGTTCCTCATCCTTTTCAAGTAGAAACTGCCTGTTTAAAGCTCATATTAATTGAAGGATTGGGATTTGAAGGGTCAAATTTTTTGAGTAAATGCCACTTTTGGTCCTACAAACAAATTTCTCCAAAACTTTGAAGCTGACATCAGACACAGAGTTCAACTCTCTATAAACTAAACCGAAAAACTTTATTTTAAAAGTGGTGGAGTAGTTCCAAACTTGAGAACAAGATGGCAGTCCGATAGCATTTTTGCAGTTTTTCGAGACTTTTGGCATCAGAACATAACTTTAAAACAAAAATAAATTGATATTCTGAATAAGCATCGAAAGCTGCATCAGAGGATGTGCTTTTGAGAATTTTTAAAGAAATAAAACATTTATTCGACGCTTTCGACGCTTTCGACGCTAATTTATCAACTTATTTTTGTTTTAAAGTTATGTTCTGATGCCAAAAGTCTCCTGATGTCCTGATGCGCTGACGAACCATCTCTTAAACACTGAGCGTATATCTCTAATCCATTGAGTTTGGGAGCTTTGAAAGTTTGGTTTTCTATTACTACATGGAAAACTGCATCTAGAAAAAATAGTTTAGATGTCTAAATATCTAAATGTCAGTTTTTCACCCGTAACCGGTCTTTGACAAGATAC